CACCCCGCTGTGCAGCTCTCCGTGCACACGTGCATCCACGGATCCGTGTGTGCACGTGTTTCTCCATGCAACTCTCCGTGCACGCGTGCATCCAAGGATCCGTGTGTGTGCACGCACCCCGCCGTGCAGCTCTCCGTGCACACGTGCATCCACAGATCCGTGTGTGCACGTGTCTCTCCATGCAACTCTCCGTGCATGCGTGCATCCATGGATCCTTCCATGCACGCGCCCCCTCTGTGCACGCGTGCATCCACGGATCCGTGTGTGCATGCACCCCTCTCAGCTCTCCGTGCACGCGTGCATCCACGGATCCGTGCGTGCACGCACCTCCTCCATGCAACTGTCTATCAACATTTTCCCAACGCATTTCTCAATGCATTTTTTTTTTCCTCTTTTGCCCTCAAATCATGCTCCAGGCTCTTTCTCTGGCACTCCCTGGGCTGCTTGCATCTCTCCGGGATGCTCCGATCTCCCCCGGGTGCACTCAGGGCCAGACCTCAGGGACGCGCTGGCGCCCGCCAGCCCTAGCCTGGCCCCGGGTTTGCAACCCACGGAAAGGACGGAGTCTCCATCCCGCGTTTGCATTTGGAGCTGCAGCCCGTGTTTGCAATGGCATCTGCAGCCTGTGTTTGCAACCCCAGGAAAGGACGGTGTCTCCATCCCGTGTTTGCAATTGCACCCACATCCCATTTTTGCAATTGCACCCACATCCTGTGCTTGCAATTGCACCTGCATCCCGTGTTTGCAAGCGGAGTCGCGAGCTGCATGCAACCCTGAGATTACGCCCGGCAGAGCCCTGCCCCAAGGAGCGTGCAACGCTCCTTTCCGCACCCCCCCCCTCTTTTGCATTGCCTTTTGCATCCTCTTTTCCATCCCCTTCTCACCCCCTTTCACATCCCTGTCTTGCATCACCGCTCACGTTCCCTTTCGCAATCTCTTCTGCAGCCCCTTTTCCCATTCCCTTTGCGCCTCCTTTTGCGTTGCACCTGCATTTGCATTGCCTTTTCCATCCTCTTTCCTATCCCTTTTGCACCCCCCCCCCAAAAAAAATCTTGCATTAGCGTGCAAGGACACGCATTAGCGTGCACGAGCATGTATTTGCGTGCAAGAGTGGGCATGGGCGTGCAACCAGCTGCAAGACCATGCATTGGCTTGCAGCGGTGTGCAAGAGCATGCTTGAGTTGCAATCGCGCGCAGGAGCATGCATCCTGTGCAAGAGCTTGCATTAGCCCGCCAGGGCGTGCATGTAGCGTGCACGAGCGTGCAAGAGCGTGCACGCGCACGTGCATGTGGTTTTTTTTCCCCCCTGTGCCCCATTCAGGGACCAGGCAGCAGATGGCAGCAGCGACGTGCGAGTGCCAGCACGGGCGGGCGCCCACAGGTGCCCACGTGTGCACACGTGTGCACACACGCGTGCACCCAGCTGGGCCTGCCCTCCTCGCTCCAACCTATAGGCCCTACTGCCTCGCCCTAGAGGACCCAGGAGTCCGGGAGGGACCCAAGTGTCCGAGGGGACCCAGGAGTCTGGGAGGGATTTGCAAATGCACACACACAAAAAAACCGCAATTTGCAAATGCATTAAAAAAACCCCAATTTGCAAATGCACACACAAAAAAAAAAAAAACCCAAAAAAATCAAACCAACCACGATTTGCAAACACATTAGAAAAAAAAACCCATTTTTGCCAATGTGCAAAAAAACCACGATTTCCTTCAGGGAGGGTGGAAAAAAAACAAAAAACAGACTTTTGGCTGCCAAATTCAACAAACTTTGTGCAAATATGCTCCGGTCGGGTTTTTGCACAGCCAAGGCGAGCCGGGGCGAGCTTTTAAGTGGAAAAAAAGAAAAAAGCCAATATTGACCCATCTCGTCAGGCTCCGGCAAGAAAAAGCAGCCCAAAGAGCGCCGTTTCCGTGCCGAAACGGTGATTTTTTTTCGCCGCGTTGCCAAAGGCGGTTTTGCAGCTTATTTGGCCCCAAATTGGGGTTTCTGCACGCCTGCAACACTCGACGCAGTCCTCCCGCGCACTTTGGGTGGAATTCATGCGGTTTTGGGGCGCCCATGAAGCGAGGAGGGGTGAAAGGGCTTTTTTTTCCCTCCACCGTTCTGACTTGAGGGGCTGGATTAAAAAAAAAGGACTGGAAGGGAGAGCTTTAATCTTAGTCCTAGTCTTAATCTTAATTTCGATCTTGATCTTAAATTTATTCTTAATCTTGGTCTCAATCGTACTCTTAAACTTAACTTTATTCTTATTCTTACCCTTAGTCTTAATCTCAGTCTTAATCTTGAGCTTAACCTTATTCTTAATGTAACTCTCAATTTTAATCGCAGTCTGAATCTTATTCTTTTTATTCTTAATCTTAATCTAATTCTCTGTTTTATTCTCGGTCTTAATCTTCTTCTTAACTTTATTCTTAATCTTAACCTTATTCTGAATTTTAACCTTAGTCTTAATTATAATCTTAACCTTAATCGTCTATAATCTTATTTTTAATCTTCTTGATCTTATTCTTTCCTTCTTCCTTCCTTATTTTGCTTTGTTTCCTCCTTCTTCCCTCATTTTTTTCCCTTATTTCCTTCTTTCTTTCTTTCTTCTTCCAATTTTTCCCCTTATTTCCTTAATTCTTTCCTTTTTCGCTTCGCTTTGCTTTGGTTTAGTTTTGGGTTTTTTTTTTTTTTCTTTCTCGTGCCGCTGCAACCTCTGCGGCCGCCGGGGCCGTTTCAGGACGGATTCGCCCCAGTGCGAACAGCTTGAAACATGTTTTTCACATGCAATATTGATCTATTTTTCCCATTTTTTGGGGTTTTGCTTTTTTATTTAATGCACTTCCTTTTGCCTCCGGTTCTTCCAGCAAAAGCAACTCTCGTTTTGCTCCATTTTCCTACGTTTTGCCAGTCCGCCTTTTCCCGCTTGCTCTTCCAACCAGGGGGACTTTGAAATGCAAAAGCATTGCGGAAAGGCTGCTTTTAGCGAAGGTCAGGCAGAAATTAACCCCAATCTGGCTTTTTTCCCCCCCCCTCCTCAGTTAGGGCTCGCACAGTGCCCTTATTGTGCGCAGAGAGATCGCTCACGGAAACCGTCTGGGACCCAAAATGGTTTTGCATGAACGGCAAAATTTCCCACCGGCTCTAAAAAACACGGCTGGCACTTTGCATCGCCCCGGTTCGTATTTCGGTTTGCATTGCCCTGGGTTGCATTGCCCCAGTTTTGCGTTTCGACATGCATCGCCCCAGTTTGCATTACCCCAGTTTGCATTTCAGTTTGCGTTACCCCGGTTTGCATTACCCCGGTTTGCATTGCCGCGGTTTGCATTGCCGCGGTTTGCATTGCCGTGGTTTGCGTTTCGATTTGCGTTGCCCCGGTTTGCGTTTGTCCAGTTTGCATTTCCCCGGTCTGCATTTAGGTTTGCATAGCCCCGGTTTCCACTTCAGTTTGCATTGCCCCAGTTTTGGTTTGCTTTACCCCAGTTTGCATTTAGATTTGCATTGCCCCCGGTTTGCATTTCGGTTTGCATTTCCCCAGTTTGCATTTAGGTTTGCATTGCCCCAGTTTGCATTTTGGTTGGTATTACTCCAGTCTGCATTTTGGTTTGCATTTCCCTCGTTTGCTTTACCTCAATTTGCATTTAGATTTGTGTTGCCGCAGTTTGCATTTCGGTTTGCATTTCCCCAGTTTGCATTTTGGTTTGCATTGCCCCAGTTTGCATTTCCCCAGTTTGCATTGCCCCAGTTTGCATTTCGGTTTGCTTTACCCCAGTTTGCATTTCGGTTTGCATTTCCCCAGTTTGCATTTAGATTTGCGTTGCCTCAGTTTGCATTTCAGTTTGCATTTCCCCAGTTTGCATTACCCCAGTTTGCATTTCGGTTTGCATTTCCCCAGTTTGCATTTAGATTTGCGTTGCCTCAGTTTGCATTTCAGTTTGCATTTCCCCAGTTTGCATTACCCCAGTTTGCATTTCGGTTTGCTTTACCCCAGTTTGCATTTCAGTTTGCATTTCCCCAGTTTGCATTACCCCAGTTTGCATTTCGGTTTGCTTTACCCCAGTTTGCATTGCCCCAGTTTTCATTTCGGTTTGCATGGCCCCCAGTTTGCATCTCCTACATTTGCATTTCCCTGCTTTGCATTGCCCGGGTTTGCATCCGCTTTCCACGCGCTGATGCCACCTTCCTCCACCTTAAAAAAAAAAATCCCCGAATCAGGTTTCCGAGGATTCCCAGCTATTTCTCCCCGCAGGTATCCGCCTTGCAAACACAAAAACCCAGCTCTGGCCTTGCAAAAGTGCCCGGGCCTCCTGCCAGCAGATCTCAGGTTTCTGGGAAATGCCGAAATCCGGTGCTGGGGGAGCTGCCAAGTCCTCCTCCCTCCTGCTTGCAGCTCTGTCGCAACCCGGCATATCAGCCACGGGCCAGAAACGGTGGGGGGGAGTGGAAAAAATGATATTTCTAACCCCCTAGTTTTTTTTTTTAAAAAAAGACCTTACACAATCAGAGCTTGGAATAAAAAGCTGCAAAAAAGGGTAATTCCCAGGGCAGGTTTGGATTTTTTTCCACCCCCAATTTTTTTTTCAGTGGGAAAATTGCCAGGGAGCATTGGAGGTGCAGGTGGAGGTGCACGTTGGAGGTGCCCATGGAGGTGCCCGTGGAGGTACATGTTGGAGGTGCACGTGGAGGTACATGGTAGAGGTGCACGTGCAGGTGGACGTGAAGGTGCACATGGAGGTGCACGTTGGAGGTGCCCATGGAGGTGCAGGTGGAGGTGCATGTTGGCGGTGCACACTGGAGGTGCACATGGAGGTGCACGTTGGAGGTGCTGATGGAGGTGCACGTGGAGGTGCATGTTGGAGGTGCATGTGGAGGTGCATGTTAGAGATGCACATGGAGGTGCCCGTGGAGGTACATGTTGGAGGTGCATGTGGAGGTGCATGTTAGAGATGCACATGGAGGTGCAGGTGGAGGTGCCTGTTGCAGATGCATGTGGAGGTGCATGTGGAGGTACACACTGGAGGTGCCCATGGAGGTGCCCGTGGAGGTACATGTTGGAGGTGCATGTGGAGGTGCATGTTAGAGATGCACATGGAGGTGCCCGTGGAGGTACATGTTGGAGGTGCATGTGGAGGTGCATGCTGGAGGTGCCCATGGAGGTGCCTGTTGGAGGTGCATGTTGCAGATGCATGTGGAGGTGCATGTGGAGGTACACACTGGAGGTGCCCATGGAGGTGCACGTTGGAGGTGCCCCTGGAGGTGCCCGTGGAGGTGCATGTTGCAGATGCATGTGGAGGTGCATGTTAGAGATGCACATGGAGGTGGACGTGAAGGTGCACATGGAGGTGCCTGTTGGAGGTGCCTGTTGGAGGTGCCTGTGGAGATGCATGTGGAGGGGTTCACTCCAGTTTCCTCATTTTCTGCAAGTCCAGGCTGGGTGGGGTAACGGGTGAGTTGGCTTCACTCTGTCCACAGCTCTGATATCTCCCCCTACGTTGGTCGTCTAGATTTCTCCTTACCTGAAGACCTTCCCGCACCTCAGACTCACTCTGGTTTTCCATCCGTTGGCCAATAGCTGACGCGTCTGCATGAGGACCTTCGCCTGTAGACATCGTTCTTCACCCAAAATGGTTTCTGGTTTTTCTTCTGAGCCACGAAACCCAAGCGTCCTCTCCAACTTTGGTCACTGGCCAGAGGAAAGCTCTGCAAATGCTTATTTTTGAGGATCTCTGCATCTCACATGCTGGTTTTTGGCAAAGCTTCATTTTTTTCATCCTTAGCAACAAATGCATTTACCAAAATTGAAGCTATTGAGGGCAACAGGGCTGATTTTAGGGCAAAAATGACTTTTTCCCCTCTCCTTTAGGTTTTTAAAGTTATCCAGATGGTGGGTCCCATGAAGCTGCTGGGTTCCATGGGTCTGGTTGGTCCCCTGGTTCTGGGGGGTCTGGTGGGGCTGGTGAATCCAGAGGGGCAGGTGGGTCCTGTGGGGTTGGTGGAACTGATGGGTCTGGTGGGTCCTGTGGTTCTGGGAGGTCTAGTGGATCTGGAGGGGCTGATGGGTCCCATGGGTCCAGTAGATCCCATGGGGCTGATGAGTCTAGTGGGTCCCATGGGGCTGTGGGGGATGGTGGATCCCATGGTCTGGTAGGGCTGGGGGAACCGGGGGGGTGCTGGTGGGTCCTGTGGATTCGTGTGGTGTGCTGGGTCCGATGGGTCCCATGGGGCGGGTGGGTCCCATGGGCTGGTGGGTCCCATGGGCTGGTGGGGCTGCTGGATCCTGTGGGCCCAATGGGTCCTGTGGTCTGATAGGGCTTGTGGGTCCCACGGGCTGCTGGGTCTGGTAGGTCCCATGGGGCAGGTGGGTCCTACGGGCTGGTGGGGCCCGGTG